TTTCCCCAGCGGCAGGCTGCGGATTCGCTGCTCGGTGTCCTCGAGCGCTGCGGGTGCAGAAAGCCCCCCGTGTGCGGGATGGGGCTGCCAGACCTGGCAGGAGACCCTGAGGGGTGGCTTTTTACAGTGAGGGTGCTGAGGCACCAGCACAGGTTGCCCAGAGAAACTGTGGATGCCCCATCCCTGGCCGTGTTCAGGGCCAAGTTGGATGGCAACGTGGGCTTGTGGAGGGGGTCCCTGCCCATGGCAGGGGGGTGGGACTGAGTGGGCTGGGAGGTCCCTTCCAACCCAAACCAGTCTGGCAAAACCACTCTTGGTATTTTGCTGCTACAGAGGAAAAAAACCCAAACCCCTAAATATGTTTTCAATACATCAGCACCCAGCTATGGCCACCGTTACACCAGCCTCAGACACAGGAATTCATATTTGGTTGCTGTGCAGGCATCGGGTACCGCATTTAAGAGCATCTGTTAGAGCAGAGCTGGTGGACCCCCCCCATTTCTGCTGTACAGTAAACGCCGCGGTGTCACTAAGCGAGGCCAGGTTTGTAGAGAAAGGTAATAGCTTTTATTAGGGGAACTGATACAGTTTGAAGAAATAGTTGCTTTTCACAGGCAAACTCTTCTTCAGGCTGACATTTTGAAATGTAATTTTGTTCTGAATGGAGCAAATATAATACTTCCTGAATACCGTAAAGCCAAAGACAAACTTAGGAAAAAGCTCCGTTTCAGAAAAATTACCATCTGAGACCTCCGCTGTGTCAAGTCAAAATGTTTCATTACGGGAATCTCTCTGATTTAGCAACGAAAATAAGGTTTTCAAACCATTTTTAATAGAATTTATCTGCACTGATGTTAAATTGAAATTCAAATAGCTGGATAGTTTAACTGCTGGAAGGTTATTTTCCCTTCGGAGGTCAGTGTTAGAAGGGAGTCTGGGGTGCTGCTGCGGCCGTGGAAATTTGCAGGGGAAAGGAGCTAAACAGCCCCACGGGGCTTCAGCGGCTTGATTGGTGAAAGCTGTCGGGTTTTTTTAGAGCAGAATTAAATGTATGCAAATCTGGTCTAATTGAAATCAACTTTCGGTGCACCGCTTGAGGAGGGCTTTGAGTTTCCAGCGGAGGAGAGGACTGATGGGTATTTTTCTCGGGAGTTTCTGCCTTTTTGCTGAAATTTTTATTCCATTTAAAAATATTCCTCTTGCTTGCTTAGTTTAATCTATTTTACCCATGGGGACTCATGCTGCTTGAGCCAGGCTGGATTACGCTGTTATTTTTACATACATGGATTACCGAACTCTGGGCTGAAAGGGGAGCAGCGCTGTGAAATGATCATGAAGCACGTCTCATTACAGCGCAGAGAAGGAAGAATAAACAATAATTCGCTCTTACAAAGCTGTATGGTATTATTTCTTGGGGTAGCAAACTCTCCTGATACTCGCCATTTCCCTGCAAGCCCCAGCTCCCCAAGTCGTAAGGTTAGGCAAAAATCTCAGCTTTTATATGATGAGAAAGCACTTCCCAGCTGTCAGGACTACAGAGAAGAGCTGGAGTTTTGAGCTCTAAAGGCTAATAACGGGAAAGCCAAGAAGATGAATGAGTAGTTTAGGATTTCTGAACGTCTCACCATTTTTTAAGCTAGTCCTGCCATTTTGGCTCTTGTATTGCTCTTCCAAGAGCCTGGATGGCACTTTCCCATGGTTCCTGTTGGGAAGTTATTTCGCTGAGTTCGCGACACCTCCAAAAATCCCAGCGTGGTCCAATCCAGGGGCTTTATTTGCTTGATTTGGAGTAAATTCCTCTCCAGCAGAAATTAGCTTTTCATGCACACAGTTTTGCGGGGTGCAGCCGAGCCCAGCAGCACCCTATTCTGCTTCATTAATTATTATCCGTTGTTTGCTCCTTTCAGGCATACAAGAGGAAAACAGAAGCCGCGAAGAAGGAGTACCTGAAAGCCCTGGCAGCGTACCGGGCCAGCCTTGTCTCCAAGGTACGGCCCGCGCTCGCTGGACGTGGCAATGCTGAGTTAGGGACCCTCCGGGGAGGAGCAAGTTTATAGGAAATACAGTGTAATTGTGCTATCAGAACTGATACCGGTGTTAGCCGCCTTCCTGAGGAGCTGCAAGAAATGCTCTGCAGCGCGGTCAGGGCAGGCGCCAGGCTGCCTTCTGCCTTTAGCACCCCGAAACGAGACCCCGCTTTGGGTTGTCTTCATCAGCGGGTGTCGCAGCAGGGGAGGGGTGTGCTCGGGGGTCCCTGCTGCCTGTCCCCACCGCCTGTCCCCACCACCAGTGGCTGTTCCTCACCCGGCTTTTGGGCTGTGAGCAGCAAACGGGGCAGCGCTGCCAAGGGCAGGAGGACGAGGTCCAGCCTGGGTGACACCAGGGACTGGCCCGGGGGGAAGGTGACCCCCCCCAGCCCTACGCTCATCAGCATCCTGCCTGCACCCTGGTCCAGGCACTTGGGCTGTTCCAGCTGCTCAGGACCCTGGTCCTGCTTCTCCCGTGCACGCTCAGCCGAGAGCGGCGTTTTGGGCAGTAAGACCCATAACCGCGGGTTGGTGAGGAGGTGAGCACATCCCTGCTTAACGCACTGCTGTCAGGCTGTCGTGGTTTCACCCCAGCAGGCAGGTAAGCACCACGCAGCCGCTCACTCACCCCTCCTCCCCATGGGGATGGGGAGGAGAATGGAAAACAACTCATGGGTTGAGATAAAGACAGTTTAATAGTGAACTTTTAGGGGATTTCAGGTTCATATGGAAACTCCTGGTGCTGCAAGGCTGCGCCTGAGGCAGGGATGATGGGCCAAGTGCCTGCCCACCCCAATCCTCTGAATGTGGAAACCCATCCCAGGGAACCTGGCACCTTGCCCTCCTCCATGCCTTGGGAGAGGGGACACGAGCATTTGCTGCCTGTGAATTTGGGGTGGCTCCTGCAGAGCTCATGGGCTTGCTGGCTCGGGGGGATGTGCTGCCTGGGTTTGTGAGTACGTGTATCAGGTTGTTTTCCCTGCTAAGCTTCTCCTTGGTACTATACCACACCCTCAGTGCTTAATCATCGCATTCAGCTGCCATGGGAAATAATGCGATGTCCGGAATCAGCCATCATCTGTGGGATCCATGTGATTCCGGGGGTGGGCTGGAAAGGCTCAAAGACATGAGCACTGTTAGCTGTCTTCTACTTGTCAACATAACAGCAGCAAGGACAGAAAAATGGAATGGAAAGGACTGTTTGGGGGGTTAAAAGCTCTTTCTTGGTTGCTCTGGAAACCTGAGGGTCTTACCTTGAGCGTGCCTAGCAGCGGTGTGGGGCAGGTAGCATGGAGGGCATGGAGCCACCGTGCTCCGTGGTTTCATTTTCCCCCCAATGCCCAATTCTTTGCAGAGGAGCAACTTTGTTTTGAGTAAAACAGCACAGTGTGATCCTGGCTGCTGGGTGAGAAAGGATCTCGAGTATCATTATGGAGCCCATCGCAGGACAAAACCCTCATTGTCTGAGCCAGAAAATGTCCCGTTGTTCTTCTTTTTCCTGCAGAAATGAGGCCACCATTGTCCTGTGCATGATAGACCTCACCAGGGCTGCAGGAACGCATGAGATTACGAAAGCAGAGTTTTTACAGTCCCATTCGTTCTCTAGCGGAAGCAAAAGAGATTTTGTCACCCACCTACGTGGAACTAAGGAGTGAGCTGCAGGCAGGCGGTTTGCCTCCGCGCTGGTTAATGCCCCTGCAGCGCTCCAGGCTCTGCCGACGGCACGGTTGAATTACTGGACTTTAATTTCCCAGATGCAGATGCTGCACCCAGCTGGTGGAGAGGTGCTGGCCGGTGGGACAGGAGCAGGAGCCGTGGGGAGTCCGGGTAGCTCGATTGGAGGGACAGACGTCCGGGGCAGATAAGGATGTTTCCTGCCTGCCTTCCTCATCACCCTCTGTTCTGTTTTCCCACAGAGCTCTGCCGACCAGGGGGAAACGAAAAGTGCCCAGAGCAATCCACCTTCCAAAATGATCCCCCCCAAGCAGCCCATGTACCCGA